CAGCTGATTTCTATTTGTTTCCTCAGCTACCGAATTTAAATGTTTTCAACGACGCCGTCACCTCCAGTGATGGCGGCCCACCTGGCTTTACTTCGGTAGATCAAGATGAGAACACAGATGAGGATGCAGGTCAACGCTATGCCAACACCGACAGCAATGCCAGTCGCTGATTTTTGGTCCAGATGGTAATAGCCCGGATAAGCTAGACGGGAAACGCATTTACTCAGAATCAGTCAGAAAAATAAATGATCCCACTGGCCAGAATTATCAGATAAATACTCGCTTTTCTATCATTTTTCTTCATCTCAAAGAAAAAGCACTGACATTATCCATGCCAAGACAGAAAAGACACGTGTATTACTCTTTTTCAGCGACCTCAGAGACGGTTTATCTCCCGACACTGAAGACTCTAAATATGAGGACTAGACAACACATTCTTACATCAAACATGAACATCAGTTCGTAATTCACTGCGCTGAAAGGCCCAAAGCGTAAACGTTCCTTGACGTATCAAAGGACGGCTTTCACAACACGTTTCCTGACAGGCGGGTCTGTATGCTGAAGATCAGTTTTCTGTTCATGTGTAATAGAGCAACAACCCTCGAACTTTAACATGCATACGAATCCCCTGGGGATCCTGTTAAAATGCAGGTTCTGGTTCACGAGGTCTGGGGTGGGGGCTGTGATTCTGCATGTCTAACAAGGGCTGAGGTGAGGCCCGTGCTGCTGGCCCCTAGACCATCTGAAGTGCTCTTGGTTTGTTTGCCCTGGTAACACCGTAGCTACTGTGGTGCGTGCACATGCACACACGCACACACACGCGCTCACGCACACGTGCACGCACACGCACATGCACGCACGCCCACACACGCATGCATGCACACACACGCACGCACACACACACACGCAGCACTGAATTTTCCATGGATCTAAGGGCCCTTAACCTTGTCCTGAGTTCAGCCGGCATTCCCTCCATTTAAATCTGCACCCCCACCCCCCAGACCCACTCTTCCAGAGACGAGGAAAAGCAGGTGCCTAGTCTTGCACCACAGGGCCCCGGCTTCTTCAAAACACAATCACGGCTACTCTGAGCAGGTGAGGGTGGCTCTCTGAAGAGATTTTTTTCCAACTGCTTTTCTGGAGAAAAACAACTTTCTCTCCGGAAAAGCTGCTTTTCTGTGGTGAAAACTCTTAATGAAAACCATGTTCTTCTTAGCTTGAACACCACAACCATCACTGTTTATTTCCATGAGACCTCCCAGGAATCCCATCAGTTCACGGCTGGTAGGGCTTGTCTGTCTTGGTGGTTGCACAGCTGGGAAAAGACGCAATTAAGAACACACCGGCCTGAGAATTGCAGCTAATTCTGCGGCAGTTTTGCTGCCTTCTAGGAGTACAGACCCTCCCCGGTCACAAGTCAAGGAACAGGGTGCAGGGTTAGGGATATTGCAACCGTAGGGTTTGAAATAAAGTGGAAGGGGGCTAAAAATATACATGCATGCTTACTTTTTCTTCAGGAAAATCACAGTTTCTGTGGCAATATACCAACCTCTGGCATCAGCGGAATCTAAACGCTTGGGCCTTTGATTTGATCCAGAAGCTTCCTTTGGAAGAACAGCCAGCTCCACAGAATTTGAAAAGGGTCCTTCTCCCACCTCATTGGATGCAGATATCTTGACAATATACACATTTCCTGCCACCAGGTTTTCTAGCAAAGCCATGGTTATTGCCCCTATAAACACATCGATTACAAATTAAGTAGACTTTTACCTTTTATTCATTCCTTCAATCACACAAACATGGTCCTTTACTTTAAAAATATTTTTCTGATTATAAAAGTTACAGAAGTTCATTGTAGAACACTGGAAAATAAAGATAAATAAAACAGTATTTCCCATTGTTAACATTTTAGTGTGTTTCCTGTGAATGCATAGGTACCGTATACCATTTTTCATCCTAGAAGTTTCCCTTAACAGGGTACCAGGTGCACATCCCCGTGTAACCCTTCTCTGGAATCTCGTTTTAGGCATAGTTCTTAAAATCAGCACATATCTCTGTTTGGGCTTTTACATACATATTTAAAACACACACACACATCTTTACATAAGTAGGGCTGTGAACTTCATTAAAAATATTTTATTATGAAAATTGCAAACATACACACACTAAGAGAGAATGGTATAATAAGCCCAGATAAAACAATTATAACTGGATTTTTAAAAATCCAGTGTGAGACTTT